GCATACCATCCACAAAGATATTCACTTGCGTGTACATGTCCATGGGGTGCGTGATAATACACGGCGCCAGATGCCTCGCCATCTGCACGTAGTCGCGCATCGCCATTTTACCCTGTCGCATAGACAGGAGAATCTTGAGCGCACCAATTTCTTCTCTTGCGATGGCTCGAAGGCAAGACGAAGATCGTCCTGGATGGTATCCAGGGTGTGGAGCGTGTGATCGTCCGCAACGAGCTTACCAAGGGCCCACTCCTTGGCCTTCACGGTGAGGCGGGAAAGAAGAAAGTTGACCTTCGCCTGGGGTGCCTCAAGAAGTCTCGAGGCGATGACGATATCAACTTCTCGGAACCACCAATTCAGCGACAACCGGTACTTACCTTACCCTGAGTAGGAGGAGGTTTCCATCTTCACGTCCCTCATTCCGTGAAGGTCGCGAGAGAGTTAAACCTCGCCGGTTGAATTCGGCGAGCTCGCGTGCCATAAACTCATGTATGGCGAGACGTTGCGCGTCAGGGGTCCCTGATCAGCGACGCGACGAATGCCTTTCCCGATATCGCCGCGAGGCGATTAATGCCATCCCACTCAACATTAGTGAGATGGGGGAAGGTCGCGTGCTCCAGATATAAATCTGGAGCGTCAAAGTACGAAGATTCGCTCATCCCAAACTCGGGCATAGGAAGGACTACGAAGTGCTACCAGGTATAACGGGGCTAGAACGTACCGTTACTAGCTCACACGTGCGCTTGAGGAAGACTCAAACCAAATAACAGGTATATATGTATGTAAACGCGTTGCGCAAGCCGTCTTGCCACCAAAGTGGCTTAACTTCCGCATGCGTCGGCTTATCTCTCTTCTCTACATTCCTCTCTACCCTCGCCAGGGTCCATTAAGCGGCGCGCGCTATAAGCGCCACGCTGAAGGCCGTCCAGGCTGCACGATCCGTTGCACACAGGCGAAGAAGTACAGGTATGGGGCCCGTCGATGGCGTTGTCCAGCGGTAGGTTTCTTGCTTAAATCCCTTGGATGTCTAGTATGTCAACAGGTCCTACCCAGGGAGGGTCTCTTGTTGCTTGCACCGTAGAACAAAGGATTACGCGAGCGTACCTAAGCGGAGATGAAGGGACTTCGGGACTTCGGGCGTGGCGGCGTACATCGTGGCGGCTTGACTGGAGGCTGGGGGTGAGAGCGGCAAGAGAGAGGTGTGTAGAGGGAGAGAGGCCCGTCCTAAACTAACAGATACCGCGAAGCATCCGTCCAAGGCCTAACTAGCATTTAGCTAGCTCAAGCCTTCCGGGAGGGCATTACCCCAACCCGATTAGGATAAGTAACAGGTATTAAGTAACTTTTACTCTGATTTTTATTGGTTGTTTACAATTCGTACTAATCACAAAGATTTTAGTCGTAATAAATACGACAGTGTTCAAGCTTCATATGATTTGCTTTTTCATTGTCGCAAGCCAGAGCATCGCGCGGCTAAGTGCCGCGCGCCAGCGCCGATGTCGGCGCAATTAGTGGATGTCCCATCATGAGGGTGCTGTACCGGCCGCACGTACAAAAAAAACGTCCGGGACTAGTAGATGCAGCGTGTCCTACTGTTTAACAGGAGGTCCGGGTCCGTCGTTGTATCTTAACCCTCCAGACCTCCTGCGCTGCGCGCGCGGCTAACTTCCGCCACTACAAGTGGTGATTCACGTCTGATTATTGTCAGTTTACATGTAGCCGGTGTCTAATGACCTCTAAAAGAGCTCCTGTACTTAGGAACGACGAATAATTTCTTCCGTCAGTAGAATTTATCGATGCTGCCTAGGTCCGTGAGGGGCCTGGCCAAGTATTCGTCAATTTAGCTGACCGGAAACCACACCACGTATCGCGGCGCGAAGTGTCGTTACCGTATAAATTCTACAATTATCGCAATATAATAATGATCGCGATGATCGCGATGCATTATGCATTTAATTGCATTCTGGGCATGCCATGGTTGGCACGTTATAAGCCCCAGTCAACTAATTAATGTAACGTTGTCGCAAGTTCGACGTCAGTGAAGTGTTTACTATCTCTTGTTGTCCCTAAGCGTCTAGCCCAACGTCAAACCTAGCTTACAAGCAAAGGTGATGTCGGATCGAGACTTTTGAACCTGGGTCAACTAGCATCGTGGCTTTCTTATTTCTGATCCTGCTCAATGTTTTGGCCTGTTTGAACCATTTTCCTGAGGTGTGGTATTCCAGTTTCACCGTGATTTGCCTGGTGTTAGGTCAGCTCCATCGTAGCGGTCAAATTCTTCGACTATCACGATAATATAATTTAAAACGCAAAATTTTAAATCTTTAATGACTAATCGGATCGCATACCCAATAGGTTATGGTATTGCCGTTACCGTACCTTAACGCCCACACTCAATAATTCCTTTTGAAGGGCAGGTATTAAGAATACATATTATGCATTATTTATGAATTATTTCACCGTGACATATTTTTGGATATAAATTTTCAACCGTCGTGTAACCCTGCTACACCAAGGCACTCGAGAAGCGATTTAGAAACTTTTACAAACTCGATACACGACCAATATATTAGAGGGATCGTGCTGAATGGCTCACTTGTTAGTTCAATCGCACTTTCGATGCTGCTCGTTGCGAAGACGTATTCAAGGTATGTTTTAGTACATATGCATAGTGCATCGATAAGCTTGTTCTTCATATTCATGCGCACAATAGGCTTTTCAGGGTCGAATTTGGAAGGATCTGATTTACAGCTGCTGCCTCAATGTTGTCGAAAATGGAGTCAAGCTGTATAAGATTCGGATGTCTGAAGGACTGGGCACCATCATCAACACGCCAGACCTCAAGGGAGTGACGCAGGCACTTTCTCCTGCCAAAAAAGTCGAGAATTAGTTGATGTTAGTACAAATGGAGCATGCCGGAAAAAATATAGTAATGACTTTTTTCTTATTATGTGTTTACAAATTCTTTACGTTGATTCGTTGTACTGCAATGTCGGATTGATCAACAAATGGGTCAGAATGAACGTGTCGCCGTCAAGCAGCAGCACCAGCAGTAGATTAAGAAGTACTAGATTAGAAAGTCCAAAATTCATAGAAAAGACATGACGTTGTAATTTTCTTTTTCGTAATGTGTTTTGATTTAGTTTAATAAAATAATCAGGTAAAAAAGGTGAAAAATAAATAACGCCTCCTTAATTACTGCCTCTTTTTGGGAGTAATACAATTGCAGAATAGTCTACAGTAGTATTGCTGATCAACTTCGTGTGTAAGAAAGACCTGTTTACTTGATGGTTCGAATGGAAGTAAATTAAGCTTGCAAATTATGTCAAATATGCAATGGTAAGTCATCATTATCCTGGTCGGGTTGGGGTAATGCCCTCCCGGAAGGCTTGAGCTAGCTAAATGGTAGCTCAACTTTTGGACGGATACTTCCGCGGCATCCGTTAGTTTTGGACGGTCCTTTCTCTCTACACACCTCTCTCTTGCCGCTCTCACCCCCAGCCGCCAGTCAAGCCGCCACGATGTACGCCGCCACGATGTACGCCGCCACGATGTACGCCGCCACGATGTACGCCGCCACGATGTATGCCGCCACGCCCGAAGTCCCGAAGTCCCTTCATCTCCGCTTAGGTACGCTCGCGTAATCCTTTGTTCCCGGTGCAAGCAACAAGAGACCCTCCCTGGGTAGGACCTGTTGACATACTAGACATCCAAGGGATTTAAGCAAGAAACCTACCGCTGGACAACGCCATCGACGGGCCCCATACCTGTACTTCTTCGCCTGTGTGCAACGGATCGTGCAGCCTGGACGGCCTTCAGCGTGGCGCTTATAGCGCGCGCCGCTTAATGGACCCTGGCGAGGGTAGAGAGAAATGTAGAGAAGAGAGATAAGCCGACGCATGCGGAAGTTGAGCCACTGTGGTGGCAAGACGGCTCGCGTAACGCGTTTACATACATACATACAAGTCATTATTTTCTTCCCCTAGTTCCAATCTTCTGGAAACCACTTGAGGAAGAGATCGCGTACAGTCTGCAACTGCAACAACATATGAGCCATGGCAATAGCTTTGATAGCAGATGGTATCTCGCCATCCATTACACATCGCAGTGCGTTGTATCTCATACAATCGCAGTGGCTTGCATCAATATACTTGTTAAGCTCGTGAAGGAAAAGCATACCCTGGATACATAGTGTAGAAAGTAGGTCACTTAAATTAATCAAGTTACAAATGTTAGTATGCACGGTTTTACGGCTTCCTTCTGGCGCACGCGTCCGCATGGGTCAGCGTTTACGATCTGATGGCGATATGTAAAAGACGCTCTGATCACCAAGCTATGCGGACAAAATCGATCAAATGTAAAAGTGCAAAATCGGAGTATAATGAAAAGTATGGTATCTGTTGTTGTAGAATGCCCTGTCAGACCAAAAGTGGTGACGAAGACAGGGAGTCGCTGAGAGTGGGTACCAGCGATCGGCTCAACGCTAACGCCGCTCTAATAACTAGCCATAGCTTCCGTGAATCTGGACGAGTAATTAAGACTGCTTTGGGTCCTCTCAGAGAGAGGCATGTGATTTCTTGGACATATTACAATGACTATCGTAAAAGTTATTACATGCTTTTCGAAAGAGCTATCGAGTCGGTTGTTTCTTTGCCTTGAAGTAATAGTAGGGTAGTGTTATGTTGCTCGCTCCCTCTGGTCGAGCAACGATTCAAATCATTGACCTCCTCATGGAAGATAAATCTCGGCTTATCTATGCTAATATTTGTCCTGCTTGTCTTCGTAGCACATCATCTTGATGGGAAAGTGATGAAGCGAATTCATGGTCTGAACTTAAACATAAAATTGCAGCGGCAATTTCAGCAGAAATATTCTCCGGACGCAACTCACGACTCCTGCTGCGAGGTTGTCAATTTTGAACAAGTGCACACTCGAGGGGATCCTTGTCATTCTTTAATATCGCAGGTTAATCTCACTCCGACTGTCCATTCGTCTCGACCATGTTATCGATTCGTGCACTTCTTATCACTACCGCTATAGTCGTCGGGTCGGCTTGTACCAACGTAGCTGCTGCTACCACCAAGTTGCCCGTATTCTTCTTCCACGGTGCCACGGGAAACGCGACCAACGGCGGCCTAATTGGAGCCAGCTTGACTGCCGAAGGACGCACGTACACCGCACTCAACTTTTGTTCGAATGCGTGCTCCGTCCGCACGGCCCTCTCTACGCAGGCGCAAATGGCCATCAAGCAAGTGCGCGACATCATCACCAAGGACACTGCCACGTACGCCAACGGCTACCACTTTTTGTCTCACTCACAAGGCGCTTCCGTTGCTCGTGGTGTGATCGAGGAAATGGACGATCACAATGTGCACTCGTTCATCAGTTTGGCTGGTGATGGTAACGGCAACTTCTTTGGTCCTCAGACGTCCGATGACGTGCCTCTTCAGGTTTTGCTAAAAGCTTTGGGGCCTTTTGCTATCGATAAGACCGACTTTGACTTCGCCAAGTACGAGGCCAACCCCGCCACGTGGAAAGGCAAGTTCCAGCGTGACCTGATTGAGCTAGTGACCACGAATAAGGAACTGCAGAGCAAGAGCTCTATCACCAACATCATAAATCCTCCTCTTGACAATACTGCGCTTACTAACTGGCTGAACATTAATCCGTTCCTTCCGAAGGTAAACAACCTCCAGGACTGCGGCATTGACGCCACCTGCACGGCTGACCAGAAGCGTCGTAAGGCCAACTTTGTCAAGCTCAAAGCCGCTCACTTCTTCGCCTCGCCTCAGGACGATATCCAGTCCCCGTGGCAGAGCTGTTTACTGGGCAAGTACTCGACCGTTTCCACGGTGGATCAAGTTGAGACCGAGTTCCCCAACTTTAAAATTATCGCCATGAGGGGCACTGTGGAGTACACGAAAGATCTATACGGTTTAAAGACACTGGACCATGCCGGTGGCCTCCATATCCACGAGGTAGCTAACGTTCCGCACAACTGCTGGCTGTTCGACTACACCTCACTGGCCACGGGCATTGCATGCAAACACGCCCCAGTGTACGACACTGAAGTCTACCCTCTCCTTGGCAGAACGCCAGGGCAAACCAAATATAATCCAAATTAAAGTCAAAGGATTAAAAAGAAAATAATGCAACAGGTCGCGTTTTTATCAGTCCTCGCTTGGTAGCAGCAATAACCGGCTTCAATTAGTATAAAAACAATACGCACCATTTGAAGAGAAATCTCAAGCTCTTGCAACGACGCTTCGGTATATACACAATTTCATTCATGAGGCAATGCATCTTCACGGCAAGACGTCACTTATCCATGTGACGAAGCAGCCGAATACATCTCTTTGTTAATTCAAAATCTAGCCTAGCTCTAAATTTTAAGATGACTTTATTTTTGATGCTGCAGAGGCGTGTAGCTCTATGTTAAAGCGCATAAACTTTCCAATGCCAAATTTGGCAATTTGGGTCGGCGACTCGGTAACAAATGTGCAAATGGCGCTTTATTGTGCTGTGTGTGTGGAACTTACATTCCGTGCTATTGTGTAATGTTCATGTTTTTGTGTTTGTATAACCAGTGGAAAAACTTTAATACTCGATCCTGGCAAATCTGAGCAGTGTGGTAGTGCACCATGTGGACGGCCACTTGACTGCTAAAGCAAAAAATCAAATTGCGTTTCTCGCGTCTAAGGAAGACGAGAGCGACACATCATCTAAGTACGGTGAGAGCTAAGTCATTCATGGCGATTTTTCCTTCCTCTCAGTTGAATTTATTATTTTCGCACTTTCATGGATTTTCCTCAGGCCCCGAAACTACTTTGGTGCTGCAGAATGTTACTACCAGCGAGCTTTGGGAGCAGGTGCAGGAGAGTGGATTATCTCTTCAGGAGACTGACTAAACATGCATACTTGTGCAAAGCTTTGGCCACACTTCCCAAGGATTCGCCAAGTGCTGAATTGAGCAAGCTTTTTGAGTCTATATTTCCTGAGCAAAGGCTGTACGCTGGCCCACTCCAAGAGGTCGGAAGCATTCAAGAAGTAAATTTAATCCTTTTGCGATTTTTACAAATTCGATACACGACCAATATATTAGAGGGATCGTGCTGAATGGCTCACTTGTTAGTTCAATCGCACTTTCGATGCTGCTCGTTGCGAAGACGTATTCAAGGTATGTTTTAGTACATATGCATAGTGCATCGATAAGCTTGTTCTTCATATTCATGCGCACAATAGGCTTTTCAGGGTCGAATTTGGAAGGATCTGATTTACAGCTGCTGCCTCAATGTTGTCGAAAATGGAGTCAAGCTGTATAAGATTCGGATGTCTGAAGGACTGGGCACCATCATCAACACGCCAGACCTCAAGGGAGTGACGCAGGCACTTTCTCCTGCCAAAAAAGTCGAGAATTAGTTGATGTTAGTACAAATGGAGCATGCCGGAAAAAATATAGTAATGACTTTTTTCTTATTATGTGTTTACAAATTCTTTACGTTGATTCGTTGTACTGCAATGTCGGATTGATCAACAAATGGGTCAGAATGAACGTGTCGCCGTCAAGCAGCAGCACCAGCAGTAGATTAAGAAGTACTAGATTAGAAAGTCCAAAATTCATAGAAAAGACATGACGTTGTAATTTTCTTTTTCGTAATGTGTTTTGATTTAGTTTAATAAAATAATCAGGTAAAAATAGTGAAAAATAAATAACGCCTCCTTAATTTTTAGAAGTAATACAAATATACTGTAATTGTATTAGTCCCAAAAAGAGGCAATTATTAAGGTACTGTAATTGTAACGAGGTTACACGACGGTTGTAAGATTATACCGAAAGTACATTACAGATGGATTTATTATATTGCATACAGTATTATGCATTCTTAGTTATCGATCCTTTTAAAAGGGGGGTTATAGATGAGTGATATTATAAGGTATTATGTTATGCCTCATACTATCGGTATCAGTTTCATGATTGATACAGTAGTACTAAGTACAACATACACTGATAATTGGATGATTCCATATCCAAATAACAGACGATGGCATACTATAATTTCTTTAATAGTAATCAATCTAGTGTAGGGTCTTTAGAGTAGGATTAATCATAAAATCTTAATGCATAGATAAAATTAGTTCTCATTTCGGTATTGGCTTGTTTCTCTTATGCACTTCACGCGTTGGTTCATTTAACCTTTTAAGCTTCTATCTTGTTCTTGCACTCTGTGCGTTGGTTATCTGAGCCTTAAGCTATTGCATGTAGACCAAATGTCCCTTTTAGTTCCTTACAACAGGGTGACTTCTTGGTCGCTTAATCAGTTCCTTAGCACTAAGTGGCTTTTAGCCGTAAATTTATTTAGCCTATAGAACTACAAGGCTTTCAGCCATTAAATCTTCCTCTGACTTTAAAGCTGTGTAGCTCCGCTACAGGTAGCACTTGTAGTCAGTCTTACCCCTGAGTTTCTAAGACTGACCCTCTGTGAGGATGGAGAATTATAATCAACTCTCTGAGGCGCAACGACTCAAGCTAGATAAATTATATGCACTCGTTGGGCCCGATCAAATCGAGGTTCTTTTGGCCCAAGGCCCGGAGGTCCTCAATACTCACCTTGAAGCCTTCATGCGTGATGAAGAAACGCTACTCGGGCAGGCCCACGACCAGGCAGCGTCAGCTGCGCCAACGCAATACATCCCAGTGCCTGTGCCCGATCCAGAGACAAAGACTCGCTTTCTTGTTTTAAAAGCTAAAACCTTTGAAGGGAAGGAGGGAGAAAATCTTCTCCTCTGGATTCGAGAAGTTGAAATGGCAATGGATGCCGCCATGCTTGTGTCAACTAAGCAACGAGTTGGCCTGGCCATTTCTAAGCTCGTCGGAAGAGCTAGAGAGTGGGCTCTAACGAGCGATGTCTCTGTAAACGCTGCAATTTCCACATGGGAAATGCTAAAAAGCAATTAACTTGCGTGTTTGCACCGCCTAATCAGGCTTACTCGTGTGCGCTCACGCTTCTTAGCTACCCGACAGGGTAAGAAAGAATTGTCGGACTATGTCCAAGAGTTGAGAGCTTTCATTGCTGCATAGCAGCAGGACCCTCTGGTAGGGAAAGTCCGAGTAACCATTTTCGTGGAAGGACTTCGTACTGGGGTAGCCAGGACAGAAGTTTTTCGTGTCGAACCTTTGACTTTCGAAGAGGCAGTGAGAATAGCGTTTAACGCTGAGTTCAAATTCAAATTTGCTCGCTATGGTCTACCATATTATGATTCAAATGCCTCTGATAGGGCCGAGCCCATGGACCTCAGCCATGCTGAAGAAGCTGAGCTTCAAGCTGCAGAGCAGCAAGGTAACATCCGTAGATGTTACATACTAGGCACCTCCGCCTAGCTGTCCGTTGCGAAAGCGACGTTCAAATCGGTAGAGCTGGAACCCTTCTCCTAGCCAAAAGGCAAGCACGGCAGGGGAAAACGTCAGATCCCAGTAGGCGCGGGGCGCCCTACTGGGAAAAAACTAAGTCCTGTCGAACCTCTAGGAGGTAGAGATGATCAGGGCTTAGCTCCAGGTGGTTCTGTGGAAGCTTCCATGGAACAGATATCTAAGCCAGGCTTGTTGTTTGTGTCGGCGACTGTTAAAGGCTTCAAAAAGCCATGGTCAATTTAACTGACTTAGGGGCGTCGGGTAATTATGTCCGACGTTGTTCCCTTGAAGGGAGTTAGCTGTATCCTGAGGCGCTAGATGCGCAAGATGGATACAGTACAACCTTTTTTCCGCGACAGTTGTACGTGTTACCGTTCCTAAAGTTCCGTTAAACTTAGGTGTGAAGTTCTTAGACTTCAAAGCGTTGAGCGTTGTCTTGTCCTAGATTTGGACCCGAGATATGATCTCATTCTTGGTATGGCCTGGATGGAACGCCATGAGCCGTGGATCGATTGGAGATCCAAAACCTTAGGCGCCACGCGCGATGTACCTAGAAAAGCTTTGGTGAGTCATGAACCCACCTTCGCTAAGTAACAGAAGCGCTATTAGTGCGAGCCAATAAATGAGTAATGGATATTGGAGTGTCTGAGGTGATAAAGTCCAACGTCAACAACAATAGTGTCGAGCATAGCTCAGTGACACTTAGTGAAACGGTACGTACTCCTTTGAGTGAAACTCATAGTAATATTGAGACACTGGTTGTCGGTAACGAAATAGGCTCTTGTATAGAGCAAGTTAAGGTCGTAGACCTTGTTATTGATGTCACATATGACGATGGCTCACTGAACCTCGGTAATGACATCGGCTCACGTATAGAGCAAGTTAAGTTCGATGACTTTATTAGTGATAGTGGATATAATAGCGATCAACTGGATGTCGGTAATGACATCAGCTTTCGTATTGAGCAAGTTAAGGTCAATAACTATATTAGTGATAGTGGCTATAATAGCGATCTACTGGATGTTGGTAATGACATCAGCTCTCGTATTGAGCAAGTTAAGGTCAATGACGTGGTTAGTGATGTCACCTGCGATAGTGACTCAATGTATGTCTTTAATGACATCATCACTCGTATAAGGCAGTTTAAGGTCGAAGAATTTATCGACCTTGGGAATGATGATATCCCAAGTACTTCAAAAGGTACGGTCTCGTCAATGAGACGGCAGCGTCCTCAGATGGCGGTTGCGGGACGCAAGGCGTCTGTTTTATCACGTAGTGATGTCGTTGACTAGTTTTATACCCTGGTCAACGGGGTGATGTAGATGGTGAAGTTAACCTTGAGGCCTTCCCATCACTAAATGCTCTCTTAGAGATAGACGAAATGTATGTGGATGAATTTCATTAAGCCTTGAAGGCTGGGAATCGATCCGATATGGTGGTCATTCGATCTGGCCTCGAGTTGAGCTCATCCTCGCTTGTCGATGAGGTAGTCTTTGAGGATACAAAGGCGGCACTAATTGCACGTTGTATCATCATCTATGTTGAAAGACCCTTCGGATACCTACTATCCTTTAGTTAAGGAATTTCAGGACGTGGTGTGTCACGATCCACCGTCAGTTCTACCGCCTGATAGAGGTGTACGTCATGGGATTGAATAGGTCCCTGGAACCAAATACTGCGTAACACGGCAGTGGCCTTTACCCAGAGAACAGTGTGACGTCATTGACGAGTTATTTCGTGCAAAGCACGCAGCGGGTAGGTGCGCGAGAGCAAATCTCCGCACTCGACACCCACTTTCTATGTTAAGAAAACGAATGGTAAATGGCGTAGCGTCCATGCTTATAATAAGCTCAAAGAAGACACTATACCTGCACAGACGCCAATACCTAGAAAGTATTTTCTTCAGAACAATACCCAAGGGGTTGTACCATGTACAGTGCGCTCGACTTAGTCGATGGTTATTACCAATTGCTCATGCGGGCTAGCGATATTCCGCTTAATGCTGTTAGTACTCCGAAAGGTATGCTCTGGGAGTGGTTGGTGATGCCCCAGCGGCTGTCGAATGCTCCGGCTACGTTTAACCATTTGGTGACGCAATTGTTTCGACCCAATCGAAATTACGCACAGATGTGCTTTGATGACATTTTGTCCATAGTCATGCTGAACATGGGCGGCATGATACCGAGAACCATATTGTTCATTTACGAGCAGTGCTCGAGTGCATGCGCACTAATAAGCTATATGCTAGTGCATCTAAGTGCATCTTCGGGGCCGAATAGATTCCCTTTCTAGGGTGCTTCTTTGGGAATCGAGGCCTCCGAGCGGATCCCGCTAAGGTAAAATTCATAAATGAGTGGTCCGTTCCACAGTCTCAGAAGGACTTGCGTAAATGGCTTGGCCTTGCCAATTACTTACACAAGTACAGCGAAAATTACGCTGATATGGCTCTGCCATTATCCAACCTTCTAAAAAAGGATGTGGAATGGTGTCGGCATGCCGAACATGAGGACGATTCCTCAAGCGGTGAAGGCAACCTTTTTCATGCTCCTATTTTGGCTATGCCAGACCCTGAAGACCATTTAGCGTCGTCTGTGGCGCGTCGGATTTTGCCATTGGCAGTGCTCTGTTACAAACACATGATGAAGTACGTGTGCGTCTAATCGCCATTAAATCTCGTCAGCTGAAAGCTGCAGCAAAGAATATCCGGTTCATGACAAAGAGATACTTGCAATGAAGTATGCTTTCGTCAAAATTAGAGTTCATCTGCTGGGCTCGATCTTTTTGCGATCTTTACCGATCATGCTTCTTTACGCACTGCAACTCAGTCTCTTCATCTCTCACAGATAATGGCCAGATGACTTTCATTCTTTGTTGAATATGAATTCGAGGTGATGTATATTCCGGTAAAGCAAAACGCTTTGGCTGATGCGTTTTCATGCAGACTATGAGCTTGCTCATGTTACGACGTTGTCGTCGTCGATCAATGATCTTATTTGTACGGCATATGCTTAAGACGATCATTTTGTAGCGTTGCTACATGCCCTTGGCAGTGATGAGTTTAAAGACTCGGACACTAAATTGTCGGCACGATTAGGTGCGAACCTTCATCGATATTCCATCGAACAGGGGCTATTATACCATTGTACGGATGCGATGGATTCTCCGCGTTTTGTGGTTCTTATGATGATATCGTATTCTCTATGAGGTACATGATATCGCCATCTGTGGTCATTTGGGTCGTGAAAAGACCTATGGTTCAGTATGCCAACGTTATTGGTGGCCCAAACTGTATAAATGGTTGATCGCATATGTGCGTACGTGTGAAACGTGTCAACGGGTGATACACTCGCTCCATTCGGCAGCGCCTTTGGATGTTTTGCCTATTCCCACTGGGTGCTGGGGGTCCATTAGTATGGACTTTGTATTTGGCCTACCGAAAGATTCGCGTGGCAATACGGGTATTGTGGTTTTGTTGACCGTTTGAGCAAGATGACTTACTTAGCTGCTGAGACTCGATCGAGGGTGAAGGTACATCGGAGATGTTTATCGATCGAGTGTTTGGCCAACATGGCTTGCCAGTGGCAATTGTTTCTGACCGTGATCCTTGTTTTACGAGTAAGTTTTGGAAGTCCGTTTCCCAGAGGCTAGGAACCCGATTGAACATGTTCACAGCGGATAATCCACAGACCGATGGTCAAACCGAACGTGTTAATCGCGTCGTTGAAGATATCCTCTGCATCTTGGTTGCTGAAATGCCTAAGCGTTGGAGCTCTATGCTCCCTGTTGTAGAGTTTGCACTCAATAACTCCGTGCACGCCTCTACCGGCTACACTCCGTTCTATGTGAATGGCCTTACACACCCACACGTTCCATTAACGATCCTACCGAGTGGCTCAGGGATTAGTGGGGTAGAGGTTGTCGAACGGCTTGCTAATTTCAGCCTTATTACTGTTAAGAAGCAGGTGAACGCGTTTCTCGCGACGCAGTTGAATGTCTTACGACATGTGCGTGACGCAATGGCTTATAGCCAAGATCAACACAAAGAATATGCGGATGCTAAAGGCAGAAGCTGTATTTATTGTTATGAGATCGGAGACCAAGTCTAACTAAACGCCAAAATCTAAAGTGTCTGCTGTCTCAAAGACAAAGTTGCGTCCAAGTTTCATCGGACCTTTTACGGCCGTGGCCAAGAAAGGCTTAGCGTATACACTTAATCTGCCGCGCAAATTGCGTACACAACCCGTGTTATACGTTAACATGCTTAAGCCACATGGGATCCGTTCCACGTGAATGCTAAGGCTCTTGCACCGAGGTCATCGGCACTTATCATCTGCACCAAGAGGTCAAGCAGCCTCTCCACTCGGATCCGGCTCTGCTCCAATGACTGAAGGCAAGTCTGCATCTGCTGAACGGTCTCACAAAGACATTTCACCACCTGTAGTAGCTCAGCAGGAGCTTGTGCCGATACACCGGCCTCCGCCATCATCGCTCGATGATCAGGGGGACCTTCAGTTTCATGTGGAACGGCTTCTGTAAAAAGCGCCGTCGTCACAGATAAAATCATTATCTGGTGAGTGGCGGGGATACCCCGAGTCGTGGAACTCATTGGAACTCGAAGTTTCCCACGTCAGGATTGCCCATACGCCGTGGACGTTTTTGAACGTCGTACGCAGGGCCAACATGTTGGCGATGACGCTTCTCACCAGTTTTGGTGAGGGTTGACGAGTTAGCGGCCTCGGCTTGTCGTGAATACGCGTAGCCAAAACATTGGAGTGCTGAATAGCAGACGAATATTGCGTTCGGTGAGACTTCAACTTTCCTCGGGCCATCAGTTAAGCGTAATCGTAACGAATTTTCCGTTCGACGAACATCTGCCACGTCGACACTTGCCCGTAGCACCCACATGCTACTTAAACGTCGCGCATAGTGCAATTAGCGACTAAAAGTTGTATCCTCTTCCTCCTCGGTTTCTCCTGCGAATAAAAAATGGAAACACCTTTTATAGAAGGAACTGGTGCACCGCGCACTTGCCTAGTGAGGCGTGCCAAGTATTGGCTTTGCGTGGTGATAATGGGTTTTATAAGCGTTTCCGAAGAGCCGTTCGCGTAGCGACATCCTCGGGTTAAATGGCCTCAGGCCCAATGGGTCATCCAGAAAGTTACTGACCAGATGCCTTATTCCACTGATGGTGGTTTGAAATTATACTGTCGGTGGACCTAAAGCCTATCCATATTCTTCTTCCGGCGCTTTTCGCCTTGTATAGGGGCTAGAGCTCCGTTACTAACACACGCTATAGGTCTTACGAGGAAGCGTAAGGGAGCACGCAATATCTAGCGTGCTAAGGTAATTTCGAGCTTTAAATTCTATAATTTTGTTTATATACAAATTACGAGTGGTTCCTACGCGCATGGGAACCACTCAACTATAGATCTCTCTCCATTTAGCTAATAATGAGACTGATTATCACTTACCTGCAAATAGAGATACAAATGGCTACACTTCTATCTCAGGGTAGCATATAACTACTTATGTAATATAAAATTAATATAATACTTGTGTCGATACACCCTGTTACACGTCTTCCTTTTGATCAATGGTCTACGGCTGTTGTTCGTCGAGTGGGTTAGTAACCGTCGCTGTTGACGATACGTCCGGCGGGTCACGTAACGCTGTTAGCGCATCTGCAGCACCACGTTCAGGGAACGGATTCGGTGCATGACTAATGTCATCTTCACACGGAAGTGTGGCTAAAGGGGACACATCGGGTCCCACGAAGGCGGTGTCTCTTCGTTATTTACCACTTCGTCGAGGTCTCCTTTAACGAGGTCCCGTAGATTATGTGACTCATTGCCAGGAGGCGTCATGTGTGCCGTGACCAACAGTAAGGTTTAAAGTTCACTAAAGCCCTACCTCAAAAGAGGAAAGGTGTCGGGAATGACATTCTATAGGAACATCAGTCTGGTTACGGAGAGTGTAACGGGGTTACACGACGGTTGGAACATCATATCGAAAGTTTACGGTTGAAGTTTTTATATTATATATAATGCATTCTTGAGGCTTCTCTTTAGAGAGGTATTAAGTACGAGCGTTAAGATACGGTATTCGGTAATACCGTATCCTATCGATTAGGATTCGATAAATCGATAACGCTCAGCTAAGTACATCATACACAGATGTTTGGACGACACATCGTCCAATAACAAAGTCTGCATACTATAATTACTGTTATTGTAATTAATCTAGTGTAGGGTACTTAGATTAGGACTATTCCTAACATCGTAATGCATCAATAAAGTCAGTTCTCATTTTGAGTTTAAGATCGCAAGTCGTCCTGACTTGCTCTCTTGTGCACTTCGTGCGAAGATTCTTTGAACCTTAAGCTTATTGCTTGACTGACTAAAGTCTCTCTCCTAGTTCCTTAAAACAGGGTGACTTTAAGTCGTTTAATTAGTTCCTTATAACTAAGTGGCTTTTAGCCGTATATATATTTAGTGGGCTATAGACTAAAGTCTTCCTCTGGCTAAAGAGCTGTATCGCTTCGCCAAACCTCCGCTCCATACTCTATCATTTAAAATAATTGCGCGTCAATTTACATTGTCACCTTAAATCCTGATCCATTGATAAATCTGGTGAAAAAAGGTTACAGCCAGCACTTGGGATGTATAAGACATCCTCAAACATATACATCACCATTCGCTCATTAACAATGACTGCAAGAAGAATAGCCTCAAATGTGCCGCTTTGGCATCGATGCCTTTAGCAAACCCAGAAATAGCTGGGTTCCACTCGCTGTATCCCATGCTTTGCATCGTCGTGAAGTATTTTTTGCACGCTGTGATATGCGCATTGGACCCCATGTCAAAGTATTAGCTACGAGGTTCATAGTCTTTATCGATAAGTTTGGCAACTTCTCCAATCACGACTTCACATTTTTGTGCATTTAATCTTTCACCTTCCCGAAATATTTTGCGCTCTTGTTCGAATGGAGTCCCACTTGAACACGCGTAATTTTTACTTTTGCGGTCTTCTTTCCATCCAGATCCGGGCAATCACGTTGAAATGATCCCCCCCACAATCAAAACATCCATCACTCCTTGTCTTGGTTGCTGGCTTCTTATCTAAAGGTTTGTGTGACCTTCTACCTTCTTTACTGACACGAAGTGTGCCTTGAGTTCTCTTTTGCTCCTTGTAGCCGTATAACGTGCTAAAAGTTACACGGTTCGTTAAGTATCGAATACTTAACGGGCAGGCCTAAATGGGTACGAGGTACTTTAGGCCTTCCACTTGGGTGTGGCACATCAATGTGACCCACCCTTGTGAATGTGATATCCATGGATGGATTCACATTCAACGAGGATAGGCCAGTTGGGACTAGGAATCATGGTGACGCTTCAAGTAGATGTCACCAGCAAGATTAAATATATATATTATAAGCTCGCACGTAAGGATATGTTTCTAAAGAGACGCGTATCCAATCTTTGCATAATTAGCCACCCAGTAGTTAGATTTAAATATAATTAATATCTATTGAATATGAGTCAGTCTTGAATCTACTGAAAATCGCACACTGCGCACGAGAAGCTGTATAAGCTTCTGCGTGTCGTAAGTGTAGCTCTTGTCTTAGCAGATCGTTGCACGGTTCACTCCAAAGCGATCGTTGCGCGGTTCACTCCAAAGCGGCCGGCAACGTTTGGTACAGCGCTTTTTAGCGCCGACCAACACCACCACTACCGCACGCGGAGGTAAGACGGTATAACCGCTTCCTCGCGCTGCTTGAAGGTGTGTTCGCGTAGTACGTGGGAAATTTCTTTACGAAGTGCTTGTCTACAAGCCGAAAATATTACCGTCCAAGTCTTCATTTCTTGATTCAGCAGTAATGATTATCTCTCGAAGTAGCTCTGGTGTGTACTTCGTCATATCAGAGCTCAATAAGACTTTGCGTCGTAGTTCATCATAGCGCGTTAGTGCTGGAAGACTTCGCAGCATTCGATCCACCATCTGCAAGTCATTCACGTGTGAGCTTAAATCCGCAAGTTGATTTCTAATATCAAAAAGCTTGTGCAGGTGACTTCGCACATTGCCCTTTTCACGCACGTGAGCCCTGTGTAGCTCGCCTTGTAAGCGACCCACTTTCGGCGCGGTCATAGCAGGACTTGTCTTGACTTATACATCGATACGAGCTCGGACTACATTTTTGTGCCTATCCCTTTCATCATAACTTGCTTTGCAAGTTTCATCGAAAGGCCTAAAATTAATATCTTAATATTCGCTTGCTTCTTCTTAAAACCACCTATCTTCTCAGCGTCTCAACTTTAGTCCAAGGCCTCCTTTCCGGTAGCGATCTGATCCAATAAGCTACTCTCGAAAGCGTTGATCATGGCATGCTTGAAAAAGTCCAGTCGTCTCTGTTCCAGCAAACTGGAGTCCCCGATGAAAAGATTTGTAAGCCTTCATGTTTGTCTGTGTCGCTGTCAGAGTATGACGATAGTGGCATGTTTGTTCTTGATATTCTTGACGGTTATGTAGAACCGCGTAGCCTGTGTGTAATTGGGCTCATAATCCTCACGGAAACCTCACTCGAACGCACTCACAAACAGCTTGTTGATCTTAATGTAAATATCGGACTGACTGCAATATGCCTGTACTGCACTAGTGCCTTTCTCACTCTTTAATTTGCGTGGAACACGACAAGCGACAGAAACAGTACACTCTTTAAACACCATTTACATGAGTGGTGGGCAAACAATAATGCGGCCGCTCAGGCCGCCTCGACCTCCTGACCCTCCTGACCCAGCACAGCGGACAGAGAGACAAGCTGTTGAAGCTCATGATATCAATGCGAGCATTACACCTACCCCGAATGTTGCTGAAGAGCAAGATGTTGACGTGTGGTCCACTGCGGCAGTCTCCAAACTTCGGCAGGAATTTACGTCCGAAGCCAGAGCTTTAAAGGAACAGACACGGGAGCTGAATCGTATGTATCATCTTGCAACCTGTGAATACCTGCTGCATGCTGACTCTGCCATCAGAGCAATGACGGACGACGAAAAAGCGGTGATGGAAGCGTATTTAGGGCGCCGACTTGAACTTCCTGCCCCTCCTAACTTTCTCAGTTGCACAGCTACAGCTTACAAGAGAGCGGCCTTGTTGTCATTTCACCAGACACACATAGAGGCAGCCCTCGTCGCCGACGTGCCAGCTCGAGTACGCTTGGGAAAAGGTATACCCCGTCAGTCGGTACTACGGGAAATGGCAGCAAGCAATGCGACTACAGCTGACGCCAAGACCAGGATGAAGGCATTTCTCAAAGCTGCACAAAGAGTGATATTCGATGGGGAGCACACTCTGACATTTACTTTCATGTCCAAGAGAGTTGCTGACAGCTGGGTACATGAAACCTTTAAGTTGCGTGGCTGTGATATGACCCTATTGATGGCGGGAGTGGAAAGAGCGGGGATTTGCCCTCCGCCGTTATTAGCTCGCAATTACGCTATTCGAGTAATGGTAACCGAAGAATTGGACGCGCTACAGCTCATTCAAATGTTTGCAGACATAACTGACGGGCTAGTAGCAGATGTACTCCACCCTGGGGAGCCAGGTCTTCAGCAACTAGACAATAACTACTGGATTATTGTATTTAGCACAATAAGTTGCCCAGTTCAACTAGCAGGAATCACCTCCATCGCGTTTGGCACGAAAATGGTGCTACTACATCACTTTCAAAAGACGCAAACAGCTCCGTGCACTCGCTGTTACAATTCAGCGCACGCTCGAAGTAGATGCACCGTCAAAGAAAATAGGCTGGGGGAAGTGAGATCGCACAGACAACGCGAATATATCGAACAATACGAGGCGCCAACGCTGACGGCTTTACCAGACTGTATTAATCTGTCGGAGCTGGAAACTCACTTAATGGCACTAAAATTTCCGGAGTCCATTGCAGGGTGTGGGAACGTCACACGTGCGCCGGTGTTACGGGAAGTGGTACCACCGGCTACTGCCGCAAATGCGCAAGCTATGGAAACCGCTCCGGCGGTGTCCGTCATGACTGTGACACGCGCGATTCGCTCATCCCGCAAAGGCGGGCGTTTAGGGGATCGTGAACGTAATACTAGGACTGCAGATCGAACGGTTGCGGCGGGTACATCACATCAACAACTTTCAGCAGCACAAGACAATTCGCGGGTGCAACACGGACGTAATATTGGAGCTGAGGTGGCTCGAGGAGAGGCAGGTCCAACACCACGAGCGCGGACGACGACGACAAGACACGAAAAGAAGAAAAAGCACCGCGTACCGAGTCAAAAACATGCAACCACGGCGGCGGCGCGTTATAAACAGACGATGGCCTTATATAAGGAGCTCATGGGGAAGTCAGACAAGTCCGACAGTGAGGACAGCGAACCGGAAGTGGAGTAGGGCCTCAGGGAACGGAAAGTGGAGCAAAATTCGTCGCCAGACGACGATGTAATGGATGGTGGCAGTGCTCTCTCATCTGCTTCAGCTGTGGCTTTAGGCAATAGTGACGGGCATGTGGTTCAACATAACATTGCAGACAATTATCATCAGGATATCGGGATAAACCACGAGGCCACATATGACAATCAAATATCTGCGGACTCCCAATGTATTGGAGCAAATACGGACAAATTATTAGTCGACACAGCAACTACTCAGGAATTAATTAGTGAAACTCACCACGACGGGGATGTGGAGATGGCAATGGAGTCGCCTCTAAACGATGCTCTCCAACCTAATTCTGGAAACTGGGACGTCACTATTGAGAAGGTGGTGCCTCCAGTAACGGATTGCGGTGTCGTATCAGCAGTGGATTGGTTGCTTAAAAGGGACGCCAGTATCAGTACCGGCAAATGGGCAGTGTCTTTTCCTGGCTTTATCTGCAACGCTTAGATATGTACAATCCCGATTCTTCAGTGTTGTTGGAGATAACTTGATTTCTGCGAACACAGTCAAACACGATATTATTAATATCTTACTGACCAATTTGCGAAGAGACGTAATGTTAGGTTTGGTGGACTCCAAACAGGAGTTACGCCGACTTTATCCAGGTAAACCTGTTCCAGCTACGACGAAAGCTGCAACTGCAGCTCTGTTAACGCACTATCTTCTCATTCGAGATGTTTCAGTAATGCGTGATGTACCTATGGAATTCTGGGAAGGGCCGCATATACTAAGAGCGGTGGCGGTCTACTAACGAGAACCGATTTATGTCTGGGATGTGTCAGAAAACGACATAGCTCACGTCCAGCGCTACACATTTGCAGCTTTAATTATGGATAACGGAGAGGCTCACGAAACCGGGCAAGTCGCGATGGTTTCGGATGATGTAATGAAGATATTCCTGGAAGCATGCTTCCATAATCACGTTTTCCCAGTGATGCTGCTCCTAAAGCATGTGGAAAGCCATCTCTATGGTGTCCAACATGGAAACCTTTTTTTGAATGGCATGCGCAACCTGGTCCTGATATGCGTAGCAGACTCGACAGCGTGCACGAGGCGACTGGCTTCCTCAAACTTCCGTCGGCTGGGTATGATCTAGACTCAGTTCGAGCCGAGGTAACGCTGGAAGAACAATCTATGCTGGAAGATTTAGGCGTTGATCTGTATGCAAATGGGTCCCAAGATGGTGGATTGTCACAGCCTACACAATTGGATTCGATAAATAGAAAATCCCCTCCTGCATCAGCGCATGTCCATTCCGAAGTATATGCGCGCATCTTAAGGTATGATGATATGTCTCAAATGGACGCTATTGACGCCCGCATTGCGGGTCGCCTTCACTCGATAAATGAGGACGTATTTGCGGAATGGGCACAGACGAAAGACATTAAATATGGGCTACCTGCACTGGATTCATTCTCGCACTGGAACCGCTATATTCAAAGCTGGATGGGGGTGAGGTTCACTCTGGAATTTCAGTGGTTACTGACGCAGCATCAACAGCGCTTCGAATGGCTGGGTATGCTGACGATACCACAGTCTATTTGCGCCATCCGGCGGATCTAAACAAAGTTTTAGACGTTATTTGTGACTTCGGAGCAGGCTCAGGTCTTCTTCTAAATAAGTAAAACCGTATCCATACCATTACATCCGGACGGGTTCAGCGACGCCATCACATGGGCAAGCCCCATATTAATCTACAGAACACTACAGATACCACTCGCTATCTTGGCATTCCAGCGAGTTGTAAACATGACGTGGAGGCAGCCTGGGCTTCGGCAGAGCACCAATTAGTCATTCGCATCAGATTGGCGAGCCACAAAACGCTTTCATTTCGGCAGAGAGCAAAAGTCGCAGCTGCGGTCATACTACCCAAGCTCCTGTATATTGCTCGCCATTGCTGGCCTACTACAGGAATAGTGAAGCGCTATGACCGTCTCATTCGAAACTTTGTCTGGACCGGTTTATTTGTGAAAGATGCTCCGATACATAAGCCATGGATGGCAAAGGAACTAGTATAAAAAGGTGGGGGACTTGGAGTACCAGATTTCCGGAGTGAACTGATTGCACTTGCTGCCACCACAGTGCAAGAGTGCGCGTTGGCTGGTACCAAATTACAACACATCTTTGGCGATGTCCTTCACACTGGCTGTAAAGATTCCTCTATTAAAGCAACTTATCACTCATTGGGATTCACAGGACGCCTCCCAGCAGTTTTCAGGCCTCATCCGAACATTTGGAAGGCCAATTTTTCTCTATTGGAGCATATTGGGCTTCACGACCATCAGCCTGCAGTCGAGGGCATGAAATTACAACTATACAGACATTATAAAACTCATCTGGCTAACATGTTGGACTGGACTAATGACACCCGCTCAGTAGAGATACCCAGGTATACAGAGGGTGTCGTTGACGGTATACGGCGATCAATGCGCTGTGAGACTGGACGATTATGCCCAGAATGGATTCCTTATCTCAGCATTGGATGCGCCTTTCCAAAGGTATGGACTTGGGAAGATGCTGGTGTACGAGAAACAGTCAAACAATTAAATTCTTCTCGTTGCATTTGTGATTATGTCACATGGAAAAGCACTGGGGCTGGGACCATTACTTTTCGCAGAAGTTTGGCGTTGAAAAATGATATGGAGCGCACTTTTATCCTACTTCTGCTCGCATTTTATCCGGACCTCCCAAATATCTCATATCCGAGTGAGCTGCGCCTGCTATCCGGTGCGCATGAGCGACCAATCCAAGTGCTGGCTACTCAAAGGGAACAGCAAAATACAGTTCATATTAGCATTGTTGGTCCTGATGGGGCCTACTTGGATGTCATGGTTGCTCGTTTCATGCGCGAGGGGATCTCTTTAGTGTCTTTCGCCACAGACGACGATCAAGTATACGCCATCTTTCCCCACCCGTTGCTGTCTAGATTCGTCTATGTGTGGCACGGGGTAAACGTGTCGGCTACAACTGGTCGCAATACAAAGTGCGGGCTCAAGCTCGCGAGAGACGCAAGGCACTTGCGGATCTAGAAAACAAACAGCACAAATGGGACCAGGATAACATGGACGTCAGCAACGCATTGCAACAAATGAAGTGGGTTGACACTGGCCGTATTACTGGTGTGACAGAATGGGGACAACAAGTCTTGTACAGGCTAAAACTTAGAGCCTTTAGTGCTTGAAATGCCACCACACAATCTTTGGGCTGCCCTATTGAGAAATGTGACGATACGACAGGGACTCCGTACCACACATTTTGGGCCTGCTCTGGAGCACGCAGACTTTGGCGTGTATTTACAGAGGCCATGGCAAGCACTGGGGTTTTGCGAGACATTGCCTGGCCCGGAAAAGATACTTGGATTAATGGAAGTTGCGATTCCTGTGGCGGTATGGAAAAGAGGAGATGCGATTTTTGCAGCGTTACCAACTGGTCACAGGGAGAGCGTGCTAGTGGAGTTATTTGATGCGATCCAGGCCTTTTAAAAACTTGGAGCGATTACAACTCTACAGATCATTTGGCGGCGACGTTGTTTATATCGGGATCCAGACCAAGAAAAATCCCTTTTCAAAATGGCTGCAATCCTTAAAATGCGCTTACTATCGGCTTATCTTACTCTGCTCAGAATTGAGTCAGAGGCGGAACCTGCGGTGAAAGCGGCATACGCGTTCTGCCATGACTTGCTAACGCAACCTGGGGATACATGGCCAGGATATACAAGTTTACTTATCAGCTGCCCTGCACTCATCCTATTTTTTAATGGTGGATCACGAGGGAATCCTGGACCAGGTGTGAAACGGGGTGAGCCCGTTACATAATATTGACACTTATATGAAGTGTCAATAAAAATATTATTATAACTAATAATATTTGACAATATTACCTTTTCTTATAATATTGTTCCTAGATCTCCTTGGAGTTGGAGATGCCCTATCATTGGTTGATATGGGCCATCATATCAACCAACGCGCTGACCAATGACCGATGGACGCGCGCAATGAGTGGAGGGCAAGTTGTCAACATACATAGTTGTAGTTTAATATAGTTAACATAGGTTATAACAGATTAGTTTTATTAAGATAGTTAACTATATTAAATACAGTTTTCTTTTCCTCTACTTCTAAGCGTTTGTTTAGAAGTAAAGCTTCCTCTGCCTCTTGTGTAAGAGAGGTAATTGAGGCACCTGCTTTCACTGTAATCAGTGAAAGTAGACTATACTGTTATCAGTATAGTCGGAGGGTGCACCATTACACCTGGTAGCACTTCGTGGTCCGTTCAGCGACCACCGCACCATCCGCTATGGAATCAGCGGGGGAACCCCCGTGATGATTTCCGCCATTTATGCGATCGCGAATGGAATGCGGTTCATCGTATGGCTAAAACCATCGGCAACCCTGCCGTTGGTGCCATGTTGCTCTCTTTTAGCGGAGACGACCAACATGCAACCATCGCCAAGTTCATACAACATGAACTTGACGAAATTGTAAAGCAACTCATGCTAGAGGAACAAGGTTCTCAACAGGTTGAACTGTTGAGACAACAAGGCGCTCAACAAGCTGAATTGTTGATGCAGTAGGGTGTTCAACAGTCTGAGCTGTTGAAACAACAGCAGGCTAGTGCTGTTGCTGCCGGGTCGGCGTATACACGTCGACCCGAGTCCTTGAAGATTTATGTCTCCAAGTACAAGGCAGTCGAAAGCGACTCCTTGTTAAGATGGTTCGTCGAGCTCGAATATCCGACGATGCGATGAAGGTCAAGTTCGCCATGTCGAACTTGGCAGGACGTGCCAAAGATTGGGCCTTAGGGCTCAAACTGCACGACCCATAAGTTTTCCCAACGTATGACGTCTTCAAGGCGCGGCTCAAACACACGTTTGAACCGCCTCGCGCCGAATTTAGGGCTCGGGCTGAGATCCTGGATTTGAAACAGGGTAAGCGTGATATACACGCTTACGCCCAACACGTACGATACCTCGTTAGCTGTATCGTACTGAACCCAACCGATGAACACACATTTGTGTTCATCAAAGGTCTGACAGATGGTTCTGTAAAGACCCACCTGTTCCGCTTGGAACTAGAATCGCTGGATCAAGCGATCTCTGCGGCGGAACAGGAGGACTTTAGCCTACAACAGGCTGACGTCCACTCGGGATCCTATAGTCCACCGAGACGACAGGAGGGCGGAGGTCCAGAACCAATGGACCTCTCCTATGTAGAGAGCGAGCGACCTCGCTCTCCAGGGTAAAAGCGATTGCAAAAGTGCAATCGCTGTCAGAAGTTGGGCCACTACGCTTATGAGTGTAGTGCCCCACGCCCAGTGTCTCGTAACACTGGGAGTGACGATCGACCGTCTGCCAAGAAGGGCCAGAGACGTGGGTCCCACGTTGCTGCGAAATCACAACAACGTGGTGGACCATCCAAAAACGGTCGGGGTCATTTAGGGCGGAGCGCCCTACTGATCCAGCAACGTCAAGAGAGTTCGCGGGACTCTTGACGAAGGTTGCTTCCAACACACAGTCACTATGTGTTGCCGCTCCCAGCGATGAGGTATCCCTCATCACCTTGAAGATCGAAGTGACAAAGAACATTTCACTTCGCGCCCTAGTTGATTGTGGGGCTTCGAACAATTTTGTTCAACGCCAATCGCTAGATGATCGTAGGCTCAAATATGTTGAGCGCGAGACCCCTCCAACGAGGATGACGGTGCGCCTTGCAACTGGCGCATCCGTAACAGTAAAGAAACGTGTAGTGGGAATTCACTACACGCTTGAAGGCAAAAAGTACGATGATGATTTCATCGTACTTGACCTGGATGACAAATTTGATGTCATCCTAGGATTACCATGGCTCAGAAGGTACGAGCCATGGGTCAGCTGGCAGTATCGAACCGTGAAGATGCCTGCCGCTTGTTCATCAGATGGCCATCTGATGAACGTCTTAGAGCGTTCACAAGCGTGTGAATGTACTACGAGTGAGTGTGATGGCCTCACTTGTGGTTCGGTCGTTAGTACGACTGCACAAGAACTCAGCGTGACAGACAGTCGCGCTGTGGAGCAAGATGCCGGCGGCTGTGCACAAGCACTGGCAGCGCCGAAGGTCCACCACTCGAATAAGTCGAGTGGACCGGGACATAAATGCTCGCCTAGAGGGCAGCATTCACCGAAGAGTAAACCGGTTGCCCAGAAGCGGCAACACGGTAATCCTAGATCAACTGGAGAGTTAATCGTAGAGGATCTCGCTGTGGTTGCGCCACCACAGCTAGAGGAAGTCGATGGAACAAGTTACATCGAGCTTGCGGGAATAAGTCCCCAGGAAATAATCACTGAGGGAATAAGTCCCCAGTGCCCTGAGGGAATAAGTCCCTAGGAAGTAACCGAGACGTTGAACGTCTTGGTTAATGACGATCAAACGTAGACGCTTATACGCTCGATCTGATCGCGCCTCCGAAGTTAACTTCGGAGATAACTCAGTTGCCTACGCTAGAACCTAAACGGTTCTTGCGTGATCTGCGTAGTAAGCAGATCTGTGTGCTCGTCGCAGAAGACGAGTAAATGACTGACATTCGGT